GGAGGAAGAGGAGATGGCAGCGGAGCTTTTCTCCACCAGCCTTCCACACGGCGGGGAGGAGGAAGAGGAGGAGACCAAGAAAAACTTCATCCAGCTGAGCGAGCCGGAGGAGTCCGAGCGCAACGAGGAGCGGAGCGCCGCTCGCACAAACGACCAGGGAGAAAACCAGGAGGATGGAGCGGAGAGACGCAGCTGGCAGGGAGCCCACCCCACCCTGAGGGAGAGGTAACACCCTCACCCCCCCATGGCGCTGTGGGCCGGTCCGGCTGTCGACTGCTGGGTTCCCATGACGTACAGACATTAAACATCGTATCCCATCCTGTCAGAATGATTCTGATCAACGTTTCTGATCACAGTCCAGAAAAAAGAAAGAAAATCACAAACGATCAGTTCAGGGGTTTGAGAAAATATGGGAATCAGGAAATTATCTATAAAACAAACTGAACGATTGTTGTTCTCTACTTTTTAAAATGGAAAAATGTTCTATTCTTTTTTTTAAATATTTTTTTATTAAAATGTAGAACTGGATGCATAAACAGTGTTCATACATAACAGCTCACCCTTAAAATATATATATTAAAAATAGTCGTCATGACGATGAATTCGATTCTAATTTTTGTGATCTGCTGCATCGATTCTCGACACCAAGTATCGATTCTTAGTAAAAAAAAAAGAATAAATAAAATATTTGAATGTTTGTTGCAAATCAGCTGAAAATACCTTCCAGTCCAGCAGATGTCGCTGTGTTGACGCACGCTGCCTCGTGTCACAAGCGTTTCCGGCTGCTAGAAACTGCGACGAGTCATTTATAAACAAAAATAAAATTAGCCCGGCTCCATTGAAGTCGGATGATTGGATCATTTTTGGCTTTAAAATAAAAAAAAAATCATACATTTGTTTTTATCTCACTGGTTTAAAGGACCTGAGGCCATATAAACGCCACTGATCATCCTTAGTTTATTTTAAGTTCTATAAATCCTACGCATTTTTTGTCAGTGTTCCAGTTATAGTCATATCTGTGTATTTTTTCATGGCAAATTCTCCAAAAGTCATTTCATTAAATACATCTTTATATGAAATTAGTTAGAGACAGCATCCAGATCCCACTCAGCAGGTCCTAATGCCGTTATTTCTTTCTAACAGTGTTCAATGAAAATATCGCAATGCATCACGATGCATCGCAATATTTTAAATATCGTGATATTTCATGGACCTCCTTCTCAGTCTAAACCTGACTCCTAGTTTACGCCACAAAATATAAAAACCATGAGAAGGAGAATGTTGGTAGACGGCATAGAGCTACAATAACAGAGAGAGAGAGCGGCTGGATAAAACTGTTGTTAAAGTTACTTCCTGATTGTTTCCCAGTGCCGGAAGCACGATCCGTACCGGAAGCACGATCCGTACCATCGGCTCATACCTGTTAACCAGGTAAACATCCGGGTCATCTTTGATTTAACATTTAACAAAACATTTTTTAAAGATGTGTATCAGCATTCTTTAGTGATTTAACGATAGAAAAAAGCCCTTTTAGTAACATAATTCCATTATTAATGGCGACCAGGATCAATATCTGGTTGCACATTTCACTAATGAGCCGATGGTACGGATCGTGCTTCCTTTACGGATCGTGCCGCCGGTATGGATCGTGTGTCCGGTAGGGTTGTCACGATAATAAACTTTTTCAACTCGATACCGATACTAAGGAAAATATTCGATACTCGATACCATTTTCGATACCACAAGGATAAAAACAAAGACTCCAAAATT